CATTCTGGTAACCTGTCAGAGAGTGTTAAATTTAGCATTCAGAACTTCTACTTCACAGTTTTACAGTTTTACAATGTCATGTTATTCACTTTTTCAACTGTTACAGATGTAAATTTTTTTTAAAGAAATTTTGGAAATCTATTTAGTTTTTCTGTGTAGAAACTTTTGTGAAAAGTCTTTTGTTTTAACTTCTGATTCAACCTCAAGTACCACATCAATTCATTTTTAAATGGTGTTAAAATCTCTGAATATACTCATTACACATGAGTAATGTGTAATGACTTTGTGTTGTTTGAATACTGTGTGAGGTTTTGTCTAAAGAGCAGTTTGCACAACCAATTTTTAAAAAATTATTGCATATTTTCAAACGAGACAGGCATATTATTTATAAATGTGTTTTTTGATCAAAACAATGAAATTATTATGTTTTTTTTTATCATTTACCATAATGGCAACAATGAAAGGAAACCTGAACTACAGCAATATGAGCTGTTGGATCAAATACACTAAATCTGGTAAATTTATGTGACTTTGTGCTTATATGTCGATAAAATATAACTGCTGATAATGTATTGATAATGATTTTATTACTTTTACAAACCTTATAGCAGGGTGCTTAATGTTTGATTTAATTTCTTTTTCTTTTTAAAAGAAAAGTCATAATTTGCAACAACCAGACTGGAAAAAAATCTAAATTTGACAAGATGGATGCAAGTCATGTCATAAATCACATGAGACAGCAGATCAGTTCCCTATTTAGGATTAAGCTTCCTGAGGTGCTCTGATGAAATAGTATGCTGATCCAAAGACTGCGCCAATGCACAAATATGCATCAAATACACAGCATATTTGTTTTAATATCTAGTAAAACATGAGCTGCATACAGTCGATCATAGGTAAACAAGCTTAATGTCGGTCATATGCTTGAATGACAGCTGCCTGAGGCAGATGAGCACTGGTAGAACATAAAATCTCTCTCAGGTTTATGATGAAAGCCTGTTGACAGGTCGGGTTTTAACAACCGAGGTGATAAATTTTAGAAGCCAATGAAAGTTTAATTTCCTAAAAAAAATAAATAGAATAAAATAATTTTGAGTTGAGTAATATTTTTTCATATATATATATATATATATATATATATATATATATAATATATATATATATATATATATATATATATATATATATATATATATATATATATATATATATATATATATATATATTTCTCAAGGAGAACAGCATGACTGTTGTATCCTGTATATACTACCTACAGTTTTGTAACATAAGAGGTAAATATATAACAGAAAATTCTTCTTCACTTTCCAAGTCTCAGACTAATTTGGGAAGGAGTTAAAAACCTTTGAACTTACTTAGTATGCTGTGTAGAAGGCTACTTAGGTGAAAAGGGATATATTTTTGCTTGATTCTATTTTCTCTTGTCATTTTTGTTAACATCACCTTGGTCACTGGTTGTTGTTTTGTATTTTTTGTGACTTTCATGGATTGTTGTCAAGTTGTTTCTTTGAGCGAATTGTGCAAAGGTTTTTCTTAGCTGGAACTGAAAAAGAGTTTCAGTAAAGTGTACATTTTATTTCATTTGTTTGGTTCATCAGTGGTAAGTACATTGGCTAATAAGTATAACATTTTATTCTTGATTATATTGATGATCACTTTCCACTGAATACAAATGAAATCTAAATTTTGAGGGACACTCAGATTGTTTTGTGCTTCTTTTATCAGAATATTTTCCTGTTAAATGTTCAATAATCATTTTAGTGTCACAATACTGGTTGAATAATTTATATAATAAAAAAAATTCTACATACACCTAATTCATGAGTGCATAGATTGTATTATCTGCCAAGGGATTAAATGTTTGTAGTATAGCTTCAGTTTGTACTATTTTCAGCCTTCACTGCGTGAAGTTCAACAGCAATAAAACACTTACGACCTTTTCTCTATCCCATCCTAATCCTCTTATTGACATGACTTTACTATATCTCTGCAAAACAAACTGATGTTGGAGCACAAACAGATTTTTGAACTGTTTTTGTTGCAGTGAGTACCACTGGGCCCACAATCCATTGTAATTTTGCCATAGACCAGTCCCAACCAGGTTAGGGTTATGGTTAGTTTGTTTATTTATGTGTGGCCTTAATATTTGAACTACTATCCAAAAGCTAGATCAAATCTAAACTGTTACAATACCTGTTTCTTCATTGTGGTCCTCTTTGGGAAACATTAAACTTATGGATTTTTCTTCCAGGATGTGTCCATCTGATGGCTTTGTCTGCTGAACCTCTGCAGGATTAGTGTTCTCAGAAATTTTTGTGGTTGTGGTTTCTTGACCCGGAGCTTCTAAAAATTCAGGACTACAGGTTTTGGAAAGTTTCCTCTCCTCTGTTTCTTTAGCTAAAGGTGGAAATTCAGTGTATGGGTTTCCAATAGTGGCGGTGTCACAGCTGGGAATGAGTGTGAGAACAGTGGAAGGGACCAGAGATGATATACTCAAAATTTCATGCTTGTCTGGACTTTGAAAAGATGTTGATGTCCATTGCAGAGGTGAATGGCAAGGACTCATGTTGTCTGACTGATTCCGCATATCCATAGTTGTAAATAGTAAGCTTGGTCTCAGGTGGTGGAAGACATTTGCATCAATGAAGGATGTTTTATTACTGGTGGATTTGAACAAGACTTAAACTTTAAAGAGACCTGCAAGAGCAAAATATTGGGAAAAAAAAAACAGTACAAAAGTTGAGTTCTGTGTTATATAAACATGAGATGAGTCTTAAAGAAATCTTGACAGAGCTAAATGAACAAATCGTTTCATTCTGTTGTCCAAAGTTTTACATGAAAACCCACCAGAAATCTCCTTTTGGTGGAATTTTTCAAAGCAGTCCAAAAAGATTTTTTACCTTAACTCAGGTGCACACGTCCGCTTCATTTGTATTCATAGGATTATCCATCCATGTGTTTTCTGTACCTGTTAAACCAACTAGTGTCACAGAGAGGAAAAGAAATTCATCACCCGTGGAGAATAAGTGACAAGACTCCGAAGGATCCTGCTTACTGTGGTTCATCCCAAATCCAAACATATCTTCTCCAATGCTGCAGATTCATCATCTTCAACTTGCACATGTTTCAATTTGTCACCTGTGCCGCAGTCTTCCTTGTTAGATAACACTTAATTCACATTTTGTGTCATGCCCTTCTGCCCTTTCCATTATCGTTCTTCTCTGACTGCTGCAGCCTTCCCAGCCGCAGCCGACTCAGTAACAGATATGCACCCAGGTTGTCATTGGTACTCTATGAAATATGCATGGGTATTATTGTGAGCCTGGGTCAGAGTTGAATAACAGACGGTAATGTACACCCCAAACAATGAGTCACTCACAAGGGCAGGACGGACTCACGTAAACAGAATTGAATTTCACATGACTGAGAGATCAGTACCTAATAATCCAATTCCCTTTATTGATTTGAATGGTTGTACCATTGTCGTTTGTAGGTCTTTTCGTACTCAGATTTCGCAAAGGTACTTCTTCGATCTCCTTGAATGAGTCTATAAAGCTCTCAGATTGATCATCTTGTTGCAGAGTCAGTCAGAATTTTTTAGGTCACACAAAACAGATTATCACAAAGGAGAAGACATGAAGGCACCCCAAGCAGACAGTGGATTTGTATGACTCTATTACAGCATGACATGGCATCATTGATTTCTAAAAGACCTCATTTTTTATATTTATATATATATATATTTTTTTAGATTTCTGAAATCTGAAAACATTTGAAAAGATTATACTGGAATGACTTTTTTTTTCCTTTGTGTTCTGTAGGTTTATGAGTATGTATCGTCAATTAAATCCCCATCATAGATTCTCCTTAACAACATAAAATATGACAGTACATTTTTTGTTGAAAAAGGAAATATATCGATTTTCAGGACCACTTATTTAAAATGTTAAATTACTAAGAATCATGCTTCAAACAATTTATATTCTGAGAAACAATTCTTCACACAATAACTGTCAATCAAGAATCAATCAAAACATCTAAAAACTATTTAGATATGTCACATCATGTTTTTTTTCTATAAGATCTTTGTCATTAAAGGTCTGTTTCAAGTAGAAAGGGATTCAATAATTATAATATCAAAGGAAAAGGAAATTATCTAGCAAACACATGTGGATTTAAATGAATGCCTTTGAAGTCAATGAGTTTAGTCAAGACAACCACCAAAGACAAAATGAGTTCTATTTGTGTTCCCTCAATAGTTCAACATTCAAATTTAATTTTACAGTTTATTTGGAATTGCTAATAAGCTAATTTATAAGCTGGTCAAAACAATAAAAATGTATTTTGCCTGTTTTTAATGGATGCACATTTCAGTAAACCCATAAACTGGTATTTCTTTTTAGTTGCTAAAATGTTCTGTACATCGCAAAGAGACTTAATGATATTTTATGCACACAAATGGTGAAGTGTACAAAGTCATCTGTTATCTTCTGTAAAGGGGGAAGGAAAAAGCACAAGCAGAGGTCTTATGGTGTTAAGCAAAATTTTACAATTGTTGCAGCGAGACTTATGGAAACAACTTCATAATTTCAGAGCCGCGGTGTGATAAACTAATAGTGATCAGTAAAAATCACATAGATTTTGTGTGAACAATTCATCATCAAAATAGGTGGACACATTCAAATCACTAAAAGTTAAAATGATTAAAAAATACACCCAGAATGATGTAAAATTACATCACTTGGTAGTGCTGATAAGCTGATGAAAGCAGTTAGGATGTTTTCTCCTCCACAGTGATGTTGAAACTGATGGTGGAAGTACAGAAACCTCCCAGGTACATACAGAAGGAAATAGCAGCAAAGAATAACTTGGTTCATTTTGGCTGAGGGTTTTTTTCCTCAATAGCAAAGCGGAAAGAGATGAGACAAATGATTGATAACATTTATTTACAACACAAAATCTATTGGAAACAGTAAATTATAGATGGCACAATTTATGCAGTGAAGTAGGGTTGGGATTAAAAACAATTATTGACAGCACATATTTAGTAAATGAAAGTAGGTTTAAAAAAATGTCACCAGTACAAAATTAAAACAAATTTTGAGTATTTCTTTTCTTTTTCTTGTGTATCTTATTTGCTCCTGTCATGTGAGAAATACCAGCACATGCAAACACATTGAGAGAAGGTTTGTTGAGATCACAAGTTAATGTAGCAGAATTGGTCAAATACAAATCAAACGTTTGAGTACGTGGGGAACAGTACTTTGCACTGAAATCCACAAATGTGGAGTCTTGAGTCAGATTGATGAAGTATTACCACCTGTCTGAATGTATTTCCTTTATGCACAGTATTTGTCTCCTTTACTGTACATATCTCCACCTTCGTCATTTTTCTTGTCACTGTCTGCCACTTGTCACAAACTTCTTTTTGAAGGATATTTTGTGCCAGCTGTTGTCAGCTTCATAAACATTATTTTCTCTCTGTGGCTTAGTCTTGTCTGAGGCGCTGGTTAATTTTTTTTTTCCCAAGCCTTCCAAAAAAATCTTTATCTTTATGACTCCAAGACACACAGCTTATAGTCTCAGTTCCTCTCAGAATCAAACTGTCACAGAATATTTTTATCTTTGCAATCTCTTCCGAAGTCCCACAACTTGTTTTCTTATTTATTTATTCTGACAACTGATGCATTTTTAGTCTCGGCTAGCAGTGCAGGATCTTGATGAAGGCTTTGCGAAATTCAATGTTGAAAGTTGTGTAGATGACAGGATTTACAGCACTGTTGAGATATCCAAGCCAGGTTACGGCACTGTACAGAGAAGGTGAGATGCAGCAGCTCCTGCAGTGGGCCTTCAGCACATGGGTCAGGAAGAAAGGCAGCCAGCAGATGATGAACACACCTTGGAAACAGACAGACAGCACTGATTACATGTGTGAATGTGAGAATACATAAATATGTATCTATATATATTTATATTCCACTCTAAAAATGTCTGATCATCATTATTCATTTGAAAATCTCTGAGAAGTTCATAAGAAAAATCAACAGCACAGAATATCAGCTCAAAACAAAAGAAAGATATAAAATAGAATTACAGAAGTTCTTCTCTCAAGGAGGAATTTTGTCATAACTCACTCTTTATTGAATGTTTATTTAGTGAAGAACATAATTTATTTATGTTTAGGCTTAATGGTGACCTAAAAAAATATGCATTACTGTTCATTAAATCCTGCTTTAAGAGGTGCTTTTCCTGATCTTTTATAATTATCAGCAACAGCTATTAAATAGTAATAATAAAAAAAAATTACATAACCATCAGATTAGATGACAATCTGTCTTTCATCCTCTGTAAAATGCACAACAAACACAGACAGAAAAAGAGAGAAAAAAAGAATTACAAGATTTAGATCCTTAACCCATTTAATCCCAGTTTGAAGCCATTCTTAGGTTGAATCAACACCCTTTGCATTTTATTAATCAAAATTCATTAAAAATATCAATATATTTTTAATTAATGGTGACTCAATCACTAACACTGTCAGCAGAAGTCAATGTCAACATTTGTGCTTTTCCTAGGGAAAGCACCTCTTAACTTGGCACTTTCCAGTTTAATCCAAGTTACAATCCATCAAACTCATTGTATTCTTTCATTTCAGTAATTTCTCCAGAAACAGGAGATATGAGTTTTCATCTTTCACTGGCTACTTTGGGGATTTCAATGTTTGGGATGAGATGGAACATGTGACTGCTATCGGCAGATCTTGAACATCTACAAGATTGCACCATATACACCATGGAATACGTTCCACAATGTTGAACATAAATTGTGTGCAACAAAAATATAGTTCGCCTAATGCAGCTGTCAGCCTGACTATGTGTGTTTAGTTTGCACAGCAATATGTGACAACTCATACAGGAATCAGAGTAATGAAACAACGATCACATTTCTACATTTTATTATTTCAGTGTCACAAAACTACTGAAGCAACAGATAACCTCACCAGTTCTATTTTGAGAGATGCAGCTATCCATAAAACACGAAACACTCAAGGTTGTAAGAAAGCAGAATGCAATGTAGTATAAAAGTAGTTTCTGCCTTAAGCTGAAATGTGGTACTAGAAGGTTAATGCTAAACAAAAAGCTTTGACAAGAAAACTATAAATGGAGCTACAAAAATAGAATTGTTTGAAATATAAGCCTGTTCAACCCAAATCAAAAGATAGATTTTATTTACACTTAATCTCCATAAAAGTGAGGCAGTCTAAAGAGCCACTAATTCTACGTGGCTCTTTAATTGTTCTTTAAGAAGAACAATTAGTCTGTTCTTCTTCTTCCTCACCCAGCACAATAGCCAGCATCTGTGTTGCCTTCCGCTCCTTCTGCTGTGAGAGCCTCCCTCTCACCCTTTCCTTTGTGGTGCCCCATTTCTCTCTGCCTCCGCTGCGCTCCCTCCACCCCTCTCGACCCCTCATGCCATCCTCGAGGGTGGGGGGACGGGGCGTCAAAGCGGATCGCGCCACGGTTGAGGGAAGAGCCGGAGTCGGTCCTACTGCGATGGAGAGTGAGATCTTAGACTGCAGTGCATGATTGGAAGGCTGTGGAGCGCTGGGAGGCGGTAGATTCTGCTCAGTCTGTGGTAGGAACCGCCCCGGCTCCACTTCGAGGGGGTGAACCACAGACTCCTTCACAAGGGTCTGAGACAGAGAGGGAAGAAGGAGAGAGGTGAGGTAAATAAGCTTTGGGGGACAAATAAGATGCATAGTTGAGAAGAAGAAACAAATGTTAAATAAGGGACAGCATGGTATTTATTAATCATCAGATAACAGCAGAAATTCAGAGCAGAGCCAGGAGACTCAATGGAAAGAGAGCCAAAAATATAGAAAAAAAATAGTCACAGTGTTTAGATGGAAAGCTTGTTTAGGTTGCTCACCACTTTCTTTGCGGTGGCAGGCCTAAGGATCAGGGTACACAGTTTCACATCTTCTGGTTGTGTGCATTTACTCTGAAAAGGGAAGAAAACATAAGATCCTTTCACTCAATTCAAATAAAATGATAGTTTTGCATGACACTTCAGGTGACTTCTAAATTAAATTGTCAATCAATATCTACCTCTTTTTATTAAACTGAAAAAAATAAACAAAAAAACTTTCTAGAATTTTTTAGACCGCAGTAGTTGTTCCACCGTTATTAAATCAATAACAACACATTGTTTTCTAATGGAACATTATTAAAATTTGACAATGTTTTTCTCCTTCTTGAAAACCAATGTTGTTGCTGTGTAGCAAGAAAATGGAAAAGGGAAGTTGTCAGTATATAATAACCAGTTTTAATTTAGTGCAGTAGACCATTTCTACCCCTTGTAACCTCAGTTGAAGACATAAAGCAGATTTATGACCCCTTTTTTTCAAACAAAAATTAAAATCAATACAATACAGAGAGAGTTTATTAAACTGCAATCCACAGTATGAGAGAGTGTTATGCAACATGGAGACACAGTATGAACAATAATGTGCAAGTATAAGTACAGTAATTTTTAATTATTAATTTAACAAACCAGAGAACAATTCTCTTTATAGGCACTATGTACACTTAATCTTAACAGTTACAAATGAAATATTGATTTGATTTATTAAAAATGTTCAACAACTGATTAGGTGCAAATACATTTTTCTGCAGCCTGGCTTTACTGGCCATTAGTATCTTATGCTACATTTTTAAATGTGTAGAATGATTATTTTGGACAATTATTTACTTAAATCTACTGAAATAAATGAATTAGTCTTTACTTATATAGCTTATTAAACATATCTTCTGCCACTAAGGCAGATGTACAATAGAGTGACCTGGGTTTTACGTTTATGGATGTTTACTGTAAATATCAGCCCAAACAAATTAAAACAATTATTAAATAGTGAAGCTTCAGGAAAACTGATATATTTACCTTCCTCTGTCGACTCTCTGCAGCTCCAAGACCACCTTGTGTCAGCAAGCCGTGTTTGCGCGGTGGGGCAGTGCGTCTGCCACGTTTACGCAACACCACGCAGATCTGGGCGTACACCAACAGTGTTACAATAAACGGTACATAGAAAGATGCGACAGAGGAGTAGACCACGAACGCCGGGTCTGCGAAGCTGCATGTGGTGCCTTCCCGGCTGGCTGATGCAGGAAACAAAAAAACACAAGAATTAGCTTTGCAAAATACTCAACTCAAGCAATCGAGGTGCCAGATATTGAATCAAAATTAGAATAAATTATTAGATGTGATTATTTTATTGTTATGTACCAACATAAGCCCTGATTTCAAACAGAATTCAAACACTTTCTCACTGTTATTAAACAGCATCACAAACAGCTTTCAAAAGCATACAAAATATGCTTAATACATTATGCTAAGATAATTACTGTTCTCTGAGTTAACATATAATAAGTAATATAACTAGTTTCATAAAGTGAAAGCCACTTTAATCAACTTTAGACAACAAGACTAACAAATTTAGATGTTTAAATATTCACCCTCAAATGTTACGAAACCAAAAGAAATATCATGTATTTCCGGGTTCCTAACTTTCATATTGATTTGCAGTTTGTTATTCTTTTATAATTATCAGCAACAGCTATTAAATAGTAATAATAAAAAAAAATTACATAACCATCAGATTAGATGACAATCTGTCTTTCATCCTCTGTAAAATGCACAACAAACACAGACAGAAAAAGAGAAAAAAAAGACATTACAGGATTTAGATCCTTAACCCATTTAATCCCACTGTTTGAAGCCATTCTTAGGTTGAATTCAACACCCTTTGCATTTTATTAATCAAAATTTCATTAAAAATATCAATAACAACACTGCTTGTATTTATAATATACCAGTGATGTAACTCAATCACTAACACTGTCAGCAGAAGTCAATGTGAAACATCTCAAGCTGTGTGTGTAATGTACGAGCAACCCAGAGCTGTGAGGAGAGAGATGTTTTTTCACAGTTTGACTTGCATCATTCAGTCCTGCTGTGGTGGTTTGTTGGAAGAAAGCTCTCACATTACTTTGTGATTCACACTCAGCCTAAAGCCCTTTCTTTGAGCTCAGTCTGAACATTTTCAAAGCTTGAGCCCACCCCCGACTGCAGAAGCCTTTATCAGCACAGAAGTTGATTGATGAGCGCCACCACTCCAGCTGCCAAGTGAGGTAACAAACTAATCAAAGATTATCTATGTCTAATCGCTTTACAAAGCATCGTCTTGAGTTACTAACTCAATGTGAACAAAATATTTTGCCAATGCCAGAGTTTAAGCATAGAGTAATTTGTGTACTGGCTAATGTTTCCAGCTGTATGAAACAGTTCTAAAGCAGTATTGCTGTCAGAGGACAAAAAAGTGTGAACATTTTGACCAAAAAGCTCAGAAGGGCATTTATTTATGAGAACCTTTCTAGCATCATTTAATAAAACAACTTCATTTTGTCAGAACCTGGGATGGAAGTGACACAATGTCTCTGAATTGTTTCTCATTGCTTTTCTTCTCACAGAATTGTCTGAAAATCAAACTCTGAATTCATAGCAACAATGGAGCACAATATGTGGAGATAGAACATTTTACATGTATGGTAATAAAGTAAATTGGTCAGTCACTTTAGAATACAATGACAACACACAGGTTATAGATCTTTAGTCAACAACCTTATCTAAAAAAAAAAGGCAGACAGCAGACAACTAACTCTTACTCTGAAATGAGATATGCTCAGGGTAAATAATAAAAAAAAAGATTTTGTCAGAATTTGCCATATATGTTAACATTTGTGCACAATGCTGAGTGGGAATAACACAACCCCTAAAAGATCATCTTTTTTTAACAACAAAGTTTTATTGTTGTGAAAAAACACACTGAATTATGTCCTTAATAGGTGTGATTCTTTTCATCACCACAATGACTACTGATTGCAGTAATGTGAAAGAAGTGCCCAAAAGTTACTTTCACCTGTATTGTTCAGTCCAAACAACAAAGGGCAGGAAATGGCAAAAGAGAGAAACCACACCACGGCGATCATCACTGCCACTCTCCTCCTGGAGCTGTATCTGGTGTTGTAGAGCAGCGGCATGGCGACTGCTGTGTATCTGCAACAACATACATGCACAAGTATAAAACAACCCACTGGTGTCACATTAGCATGCCTCTCGCATGCCTCTTGGCATGCTTCTGAACAAATACGTCAATACAAACAATCTTTGATAAATCCAGTGAGCCAGTTATCCCACAGCCGTGTTCTTACATATTTTAAAGTAAAAAAAAACATGACAATCAAATCCCGGTTTGTTTCTCAAACAGACAAAAGCTGTCACTTCTTGTTTCGCAGGTACAAGGACACAAAACACATAGCTGTCAAAAGCAATTGAAGTTGCCTGCTGCTGTTGGTGGTTTTAAGTGAGCAGCTCAAGTCTCAGCAGCACTCGGAAGGTCACAGACAAAAAATAAGCAGAAATTGTTAAAACATGAGTGGATTCTGCATAGAATCTATTACGTATAAGATTGTTCAGGCTTCAACGCCTGGAATGTATAATCAGATAGTGAGCTTGGAGCACTTCAGATTCTTACAAATAAGTCCTTAAAAGATGCCTGTTCATATTTCATAGGAAGGATTCAGGAATTGCAAACGATGGAAAATCACCATGTCGAGCTTTATCTACAGTTATGTATTTTTTATTTTAACTACTTCTAAGGGTAAAGTTGCTTTATTACATTTTAAATGAATGCTGAGAAGTCTTTGCAGATGATAGCAGTTTGAAGTCAGGATTTTATGGACCTCATCAGAGACAGGATTTTCTCTTTTGTTGCTCTTTCCTTTCTGCAGCTGCTTTCAGTCACTAGTTCTTGTATCTTTCTGTTTGTAATCTCTTCAGCAATAAAACTTAATAAATTAGTACAAACCCGATAAGGACGTTTAAGTAATTATTTGGTGGTTTTGATTCATTTTGTTACATTATTGACTTTTGAAACATTTAGCAAATACTGGTCTCAAGACTTTCATAGCCTCTTTCAGATTTTCTGCCAGAATTTCCTTGTAATGATCTCCATCCATCTTACCATCAACTCTATAAATTATTTTTCTCCATGAACAAGAAAAGCATCCTCAAGCTTTTTAATTTCACACTTATGCTTCACCTTGTAGACTGTGTGCTTAGAATGACATGCAGAAAGTTTTTGATTACGTGCAATATTCTGCATGGCAAAAAGTTCCATTTTGTTTTTATCTCTCCACAACAAAAGTTAAAATTTTTAGTTGCATGAAAGAGGATATAAATATTTTAAGAAGTATTTTATGGATAGACAAAATGTCTATCTATGTGCATATTGCATAAAATGACATATTGATGGGTAAAACACACAAAAAATACATAGGCTCAGTCATTTTTTTTTATGTGAAGCAAAGCCAGAAGTCAAATACCTGGGATTAACCTTAGTTGTTTTTTGTTGTTTTTTGTCTTTTGGACCCTCAAAAATGACTAAAGACTTTGTCCTAGGTTAATGTACCAGACTGTGTGTGTGAAGTAGCGCAACCTCAATGTGTCAGTTTGAAAAATGAGGACACAGCTATAGACGGTTTGCCTGCTGGGTGTCTGGTCACCTCCCTGAGGACGCAGGAAGAGCGCATCAAGTGGAAGATCAAATCATTAAATGTGTTTTTATGGGCCTTAAAAAACTGCCACGGTCACAGATGACTGCGGAGGACATTGGGGACATAAAACCACAGTCTCCAACCTGCTGGACACATAAAAGATGACAGTACACAGGGCCTTTTTGTCCTACTGCTCAGTAATAGTTGGATGATAAAATAAAAACAAACGATGAAGCAGATGTTCTCCCTTAGACAAGAATCTGTCATCATTCCAGCTTTTTGACACGTTTAATTTGTGCAACTTCAAGACACTTTATTTAATTATTAAGCAAATAGGCTAGACAGGATGGCCATAGATACTTTTTGAAATAGTTTAAAAGGAACATATATTTAACAAAATAACAGATGTATTTACTATAAATGCTTATAGCAATTTGACAGGAACAGGGTTTTTTTTTTATTATTTTCTTATCAGTTTTGTTTCATAGCTTGAAGTTTCCCAGAGGTAAACAATTATTACATTTTTAAAAATCTTATAAGTTTCAATCAGTGAATTTTAAGATACAAGGTTCTTTTTAAAACTAGGTTTTAAATACAAAGTATGAAAAATAATTCAATAAAATTTTATTCTGATAATGTATGTAATAAAAGATTTAAAAAATGAGTGCTATTACAAATATGTGGAGCTGTTAAAATAGACTGTACATTAAAAAGGAGTTATGCTGTTTTTCCTCATTTTTGCAGTGTCAGCCTGACCGGATGTTATTTTGTTGAGAATATGTTTTCTCTCAATTATTTTTCAGATTTCTTGAGTTTGATTTCTCTGCTGGCTGTTTTTAAGTGCTAATCTTCTCTGATCTTTTCCCCGACTGTCATTTCAGCACATCTTCTGTTCTTGTAAACACACTCTCCAACTAACTGACTCCTTTGTTTTCTCTGTTATTTTCTCTGATACTCATTGCAAGGTCAATAACTACCTGACCGTGTTTTCTACTCATTTCTCTTTTTATTCTTGGGTTTTCTGCTTCTAGGGTGCCTTTGATTTTGGTAGGAAAACGTATGTCTTTTTCACTTGCCTTCCTTGCGTCATGTTGGATTCACCTTGGGACAGAAAAAAAGAGGAACCCCACCTGTCAATGCTGATGGCACACAGGTTGAGGATGCTGGCGGTGCACATCATGACGTCCAGCGTGAGCAGGATGTCACAGTGAATTAGACTGAAGCGCCACTCCCCAACCACCTTCAGGAACACAAAAATAGATAAAAGTTGTGGCTCAGTCGTTCCCTATAATCTCAGAAGGACAAATCACAGTGGACATTTTTCGCACAATTTAATTACCAAACAAGCAAAAAAGTTGTTCTTTTATAAGTCAAGCATGGTGTAAGTCAGTTATGTCTGAATAAAACAAAACTTTAATTATCATGTTTCCAATATCTTCTTTCTTCTTCTGGTTTTCTTTGACTATAAGCCCAAAGAGATTCACTTTGGCATTTTCAAACATTATATGGGCATTTCTGCAATGGGATGAACTGTTAATTTAAATATTTGATCAATGTTAATATGAATTAATTAGGCAAGCTAATAACAGATGAATATATCATATAAGGCCTAATGAAACTTCACAATCTTGTATTTTGGGCCACTAAGCAAATAGTTAATTTTTTCAACAATTTTTTTTCTTTCGGATTATCTTGCCCACTGATTCACATAGAAAACACAAAAGTATCTCTACCTCTTGACCACCTCAACAGACATTATCTAAATATGTCAACTTCATGTTTTTCCTCCACTCTCACATTGAGGAGACAGTGCTTTGTAATTGAATACTTTAGCAGTGCGATAGAATATGTCACTTCTGTTTTAAAATATGAAAACAACTTCCATTTGTTTTACAATGCCTCCAACCAAAAAAAAAAAAAAAAGCAAATAAAACAACAATCATCCAGTTTGTTCCACTCTGGGTGAGAGAATTTTTTTTTTCGACTTGTTTGAAAAACAAAGTTGTGCATTACCTCCAGGTAAACACCCCAAGGCATGACCAGGGTTGCCAGAAGCAGATCGGACACGGCCAGGGAGACAATGAGGTAGTTGGTGGTGGTCTGCAAGGCACGCTCCCGAGACACAGCCACACATACCAGCACGTTGCCGAACACCACACAAAAGATTAGAAGGACTAACAGCACAGCGTAGAAGTTGTATGGTGGTGAGGAAGATGGTGAAGAGTCGGTGCAGTTGGAGGATGTCAGCAGGGAGGAAGAGGATGTGGGATAGGATGCAGGAGAATAAGAGGCGTCAGGTGTGAAAAAAGATGAGAAATTGTTCCTAAGGGAGGAGAGCGGAGTGGAGGGAGAGATAGTCTCCTCGGACTCGTTGAGTAAAGTCATGTCTTCGCTCCAGTGAACATGATAAAGTGGCTAAAACAAAGAGAGCAGGAGAAAAGTAATTACCATGAGACCTCACACAACCCAGAGTTCATTCAAGAGTCTTTCTTAGCAATTACAAACACTGAGCACTTTTTAAAACAACAAAGGAGATTAAAAGCAGAGGTTTCTAAAAAACCAGCAATGGATTATTCTTTTGTCTCACATCACAGAGAAACACAGAGAGCGCAGAATAAGAAAATCACTCAAAGAACAACAACACAAATGATATACAGTCTCTAAAATCAGACAAGATATTGTAGAGTTTGGCTAATTTATTCTTAAATGATTAAAAGTGGGGCTAAAAAAGATATTGTGTGTAAAACTTTGGTACATATTTTTTAATTTATTTAAAATATTCTCAATTATCATGTTGTTAGTTACTTGTAATTTTTTCTCTGGTTCTGGAAACATCACAATAATTATGACGGCCACTGGTTGTAAAATATACTTAAAATCTAGACATTTTTAACACCATATTGCATCATCTCCTCAAGTCACAAGATGTAGCTGAGAGAAACGTTTTAGAGGGGATGGATGAAAGTTAAAGCACACAGCAAAATGTCAGAAACTGAAACAATGAACCCAAACAGCCAAAAAGGAAGACGGGGAGGAAAAATGGGGAAATGCGAAAACGGTAGCAATGCAGTGTTTAGAAATTCTGAGGCAAATCTCAAATCTTGGATTTTGTAAACCTTTTACCGGCCAATTCCAATTTCTCTCTAAGAATTATATACAACAATAAAACTTGTTTTTTACATTATAGGTACAAAAAGATTATCACAAAAAAAAATCTAACAAAAAAATCCTCCATGTTGAGGGACAAAGATATCTGTACAAATTAAACATGACTAAATAGAATTACATTTTGTTTCATTTATCCCATTAATTATAGGTCATTAAATTAAAACCATAGCTGAAGACACAAAGTGAGTGTGAGGGAGAATATTTACAGTTGCACAGTTCTGCAGTTAATCGGAATTTCCAAGCTATTTCAAAACAAAGACAAATGTTAAGTATGTATTCCCTAAATATAGAGTATACCATAACAATAAGACTTATAAATGACTGAGAACAGTCCTAGACATGTCAAGGCAGACAGAATTGGCATTACCAAAGGAAAAAAAAAAAAAAACAGATAAACTTTGCTGCAATGTGTTCACTCTTATTTGATGAAGTCTCACTTCCTTAAAAGTAGCAGCATGGGGGAATAGCCAACATGCCTCTACAGAAAAGCTTCCTTTCTAAAGGCTTCTTGCAGCTTTTGTGCTTCCTTTGACTTCATTTTCAAACACTTCACTGATTCTGAAAATTGCCAACTGAGAGTCTTTTTCTGTCAGTAGGAGAAAAAGCATTTTCTATTTTGAGTTCATTTATTAGAAAATTAGATTTTTAATAAGCCTCCTGTAGCTAATCAGTCGGTGAAATCAGCAAAAACATAAACTCATTAGATTTTGTTCACTTACTGTTTTCTTAGTGAATTTCTAGAAAACAAAGATAAAAACTGAAATAAATAAATGTGACTACAGACTAATGAAAATACTAAAACACAAGACACACTTAGCATTGTATAGCCTATTGCCTTTGGTGGAAAATAAAATATAAAATCAATCAATATCCCAGATACCACAATGACTATGGTTCTTTTGTGCTAATTTATGAGAATTAAAGAAAATTAATAGCTACATTGCAATGATGGAGTGGAAAAAAAGAAGAAGAAATTACATATAAAACATAAAATAATCTATTCCTTCAAAACAAGTGAATTTTACATCCTATTATTAACTGTGCTTTAAAAAAGAGAATAAGGAAAAAGAATTAAATTAAACTAATTAATCCATTTATAGTATGCTTTTACAATTTCAAGCATTTTCAAGCAGCCACATAGCCAATTAAAGCATTGCCTAACCAATAAACTAAAAAAGCATTTTGTGAAAAACAAGGCAGCATATGTTGTTCCCAAACATGAATATTTTTTATGTTTTTTTACAGATTTATGGACACTCCAACAGATGTTAGAAGTGCCCATACCTTTAGCGCTTATGTGTGTAGCATTGAAACAACTATAAAAACCATACGGCAATTTGTGTTATTAGTTTGCAAAATCTGCCTTGCAGGCTTATGAACAAAAACTTCAAAATTTAGATGTTTGTAGCCATAAAAAGTTCCCTTTAGGAAATCTCAAACAGGAATGTTGCTCTTACTGTTGGTTTCTCACCTTGCTTATTGCAAAATGTCAATGTCACTTACGAAGACAGGGATGTCTCATTTATCATCAGATACCTGAAAGAAACCTTGAAGTGGCATAAGATGGGAGTTATGCTCAGCTGGGCTCTAATCCGTATTTTCACGGCAGTCGCAGGGGAAACCTTGATTTAAGTTCATCTGAATAGTGGAGTTGGGACCGAATGGTCCTTCCCGCCAAAGAAAAGTCAGGCGGCAGGTGCTGTGGTGTGGAAACTGTCCTTCACACTTGTTTGTGGGCAAGCATGGGTCATTTATGAGCAACTCCAAAAAGTGTCTCATCCACATGGCAATAGCACCTATTTATTTAAAAAAGATGGATGAAACATGGAAAACTGGATGGTGCAGAATGTTTCTTTTTTCCTAAACTGGGGCAAATTAAGTAGTTCAGCAGAATAACTGTTAAGGACTCTTCACGCTTTTCTAAATAACAACACTGACAAATATTTAAGGATACTTCTATGACATCAGTTTTATGTGTCTTCTGCTGTCTCATTTTCAGATAAAAAAGAAACTTGGAAGACAGAAGAACATAAAATGTGTGAATACATTTTTATCGAATCATTAATGCCAGTAGACATGCAGAAAAGAGGCATGACTGGGGGAATACATTACATTTTCTCCACTCTCCTCTTTCCACGGCCTTCATCTGACTCAACAACTACAACTTACAATGTCATGCAAACTGGCATATCAGTTATTTATCACCAACAGGATATTGTAAATGACCTATGGCGCTTTATCAAATCTGCTGTCAGCCTGAAGGTGATGAATAAAATGGACATTTTTACATAGCTATACTGCTTACCCGAAGTTTATCTGTAATCAAAACCAATACGAGAAGAGCTAATACATCACCACACTGCCACACGGCAGACCTCGTCAAGGACACTTATAGTTCATGCACCAGTAACTCAGTTATACTAACAAGAATCAACAGAGGACATCATGGAGAACAGCGAACAATTAATACTTTAATAGAAAAAGTAGAAAAGACATGACAGTTGGACGGGAATGTGTCCTGCCAATTTTAATGAAAAGTCAAACCATAAAACAGTCTTTCAGCTTTTTGGGCAACACTTTAGGTTAACATAATGTTATAAAGGCAAGTAAAGGGAAAAAGGAACTACATTAAGAGGTATCAAGTTATTATTACGCTAATGTGACATGTTTCAGTACTTCTTTATGATCAGATATGATATTTCTATAATCTTAACGCATCAACCTAAAACTGTACTTCTTCATTCTTACCAGCTGGGTTATTATATTTGATCTGAAACTCTGTAGATTAAAAACATTTTAGAGATTTACTTTCCTTTGCCAGGATTTAGTGAAAATTGTCCAACAGATTTGACTTAGTAAATCTATACAAAGTTGTCTCCACTTTTAATATGTAGTAACTCTTCAAATGTAGTCAATCTACATGAATAGGCCCACTTTATGACACTAAAATCTCCCAAAATATGGATATTCTCTTTATGTTCTTAGAAACCTCTTCTGGAGCACACAGGAGCATTGTTTAAAATGAATTACTTGTCAAGTCCAAAGAAAAGATGCGCTAATCATAATCAGGCAAAGATTAGCATATAGAAATGTATGTGTACTCTGAGTAAAGTAGATCCCTCCAGGAAAATAAATATGTCCAAAATGTTTGAAAGAAGACTGATGTAACTGATGAGTTTTTTTTAGACAGGACTTCAAATGCAACATGTAGCTTCAAAGGCATTAAATTTGATGATGAGTTGGATGGATGAAGACAACGACAGGGAACAGAAGGAGGAAAGGAGAAAAAGCTCAGGGAGCAGATTAGTGTGTTCAGCTCATAGCAATCAGTGAAAGACATGCAGACATGGTATTTTGTGTCCGTGGTTCTTGGCTGATCTAGCCAAGATAAGTACATAGGAACCTGCTCTAGGTAATAATTATTACACAGAATTGCAAAGAAACAATCTGCAACATAACTCTACTAATAAAATAATGAAAATAATTGTAGTGTAGACAAGTATGTAGACAAGTATAAACACAATGAGAATGTTCATTTAAGGAGGTTCTGTGTCACAGGGAGGAACATGTTTTGGTGTGAAATTTGCATTTCAGTTCCAGAGAAAGCAAATGACTTCACAAAGTTGCTGGGTGAAGCTGGTAATAATGTTGTTTGCCACAATGAGTCTAGTCAAAAAATGAAATAAAGGGCCACTTTGGGATGAAGAAGATATTTCTCCAAATTGGCACAATAAAGCCAGTTAAGTAACAAAGCAAGTTGCAATCTGACAATTAAGGAACAAAGGTTCTAAATTTTTGAAGACATGTCCTGTGACCTAACCCCTGTTGCCCCCTCTCCAAAAAAACTCAACTATGTCTTTGCTCATTTTAACTTTTGCTACTGTTAAAGGAAAATATGGGACGTTATCATCAAAACTCTATCCCGAATTTGGAATAAAGGGGTCCAATCATCATAAGGAATGGGCCAAAATTCAAGCAAACTGTCCACACAATTTAAATGCATTGCTGCCAAATATTAAAAGAATAATGTAAACTTTTTGACTGATTAGAAATAATCTTCATAGCTCTAACTGACCCGAAGTATTGATTTTTAATATTAGAGAGTGTGACAAAAAATGTCTGTCTTATAAAAATGTATTTGGTGAGTGCTAAGCAGTGCAGTAGCATAATGATTGACTTCACACTCACAAGAGATTCTGCAAAGATCTAATTTTCAAAGAATCTTGGAAATCCTGTAGACCAATTCTGGACTCCTCATGTGATGGGAATCCATTATTATTTATACATCATCTGTTGTCTTCATTTAACCGTCACATAGTTCAGGAAGATTTACTGAAAACAAAATATATATATGATTTTATTATTTTTTTTAAGAAAGCTGAAATATATTAACAGCTTTGTTGTCTAAGCTGTGTTTCAAGAAATGTTTGTGAAGTAACTCTCACTTCAGTTTGCTTCAAAATTAATTCAAAACAACAAAGAACAAGCTGCCCTGAGGCATTAAACTAGAGCTAGAAAAAAGCTACAAACTGTTCCAACAAAAAGCAAAAAGGAAAATGAATTATTCCACCAGCACCAGCTCATCTTTTTGCTCATAGCTGCTCAACTGGAACCTCAAATATTTACTTTCAAGTTACAGCAGTAGAAACATCCTCCATTTTGCTCATATGAGCTAAATATAATAAAATTATTTAGCTCATATTAAGATGAGCTATTTATCTTGTTTCATTCTAACACGATAAGAATGAAAAGAAAAAGAAAATTCCTCCAACCAAAAGTTAAATAAATCAATAAATCTTGAAATGCAACTTTGCCTTGGTAACAAAAAATATAATACTTTCACATTTCAAGAACCAAAGATACTTTTCAAAGACTGAAGAAGTAGGACTCTGTTGGACCACCAGCTGTGTTGGTGACGAGAATTAATGTAACCTTACATGTTAAGCATTTTTTAAAAGATAGAAAGTAAAAAGAACAAGGGTGGACATGAATAAGTTCATACATAAAAAGAGGAAAGCGGAAAAAGTTGAGCAAAAATTGCCAACGTTTTCTTAAAAATGAGCTTGAGGTTAACAATGTCAAATGAGGATGATGAGGAGAGTAAAGCGAGATGTACTTTGCTAGCAAACTACTGTTCAATCAACTCAATGAATTATGTTCACAAGCCATAACATTTAATAGTTTTATGTCACAAGGCTCCACAATTGTAGACCTAACATGTGAGATTATAATTACCTGATTTTAATGATAATAGGTTCTTGAAACATGAAACTCCAGGGCTAAAATGTCTCTGTTGTAATTGACTGTATCTGCCTGCATGACTAGAACAAATTGACTGAGACAACTTTTGGTGCCAATTCACACATTTTTTGTGAACTGATATATAGTCAACTGAACTGAAAAAAAAAAGAAGAAAGAAGATTTTCAGGAAATCATAATATAACACCAGTAAAACAGCATTTTTAATACATATGTGTTTTAGCTATGGCATGGCTGACACAATCTCAGGGAACATGCAAAGTGTCGGATTCATGCAGATGGACGTAAAATGGTGTCCACAACCAGCAGCCATGACAACAGCCTTGCAAAGAAAAGCAAATTCTCGAGTTTCAGGGAGATTCACAAGATGTGGAATGCAACTGGAATCTCCACACACAAACCTATTCAAGACATGAGCTATGATTTAGACACTCCTTGCGTTAAAGCCACTCCTCAACACCACAGATTATATCACATGTATCTCAGTTTGGTTATGAAAAATAAAGGATTCCTCTAATGATCTGTGTTCTGCAGTTCTTTTTATAAGTGAAAGTAGATGTTGCATTTTTCTTTTAAATTATGGGAACAGACTCTGGAGAGAGCGTGGAAACTTATAGAATTTAAGTTGCATTATGTCCAATGTGAAGCTTCCACAGTCAGTGATTATTTGGGACATCTTATCTACTTGTGTTGATGCACTTTTTTTTTTTTTTTTTTTTTATGAAGATGAAAGTCAAAGCAGCTACATTTAATGAATCTCTACATTGTGTACATTTCATTCTGTGAATTAAATTAGTGAAATAAATGAACTGAAATCATATTCTAATATATTGCAGTGGGTCTGTAACTTATGCAAAAGATAACAAAACTACAAACTATTCTGAGATCATTCTCTGCTCAAATTATGAAAAGAAGAGCAACAAAAGACAGTATGTGATGTTGCTTTTGAATTTATTTCTACCTCCCATGTGAAACTGAGAGGATTTGAAACGATGACTGTTTCTTGGGAAATAATTCTTAGTGATAGAACAAGTGCTCAAAGCCATGTAAGGTAAAATTAACTTGCCTAAAGTGACAAAAATGGAACTGACTAAATTAAAACAGCAGGTAATAAATATTTCCCCAGGTAAAAGCTTGCAAAAATTACCAGAATTTCCCTGCTTCAACAGATTCACAATCAACTGATGAACTTGCAAGAGAATCAATTCAACACAACGTGAGAATTCCAGTCCTGAGGCAGTGCTCCACACCAAACATCAGCATTTATTATTCAACGTGCAATTTCACATCTCCTCCATCTCTTATTTAAAAAGAGACACTGCAGCTCTTGGTAGTCACTTGCAACTGAAGTGAGTCCAATGCGGACAGACTGTTATGGAAACTCACATTCAGCAGTCAACAGCAGAGGATAAAGTGCTGAAGAGTGGTTTTTAATTGAAGGCCAAAAACAACAAAGTCTGAGAAATACAAGTTTGTCACAAGGCACAGATTGTACACATGCCTATTGGGAATCAATATGACACGGTGTAGCCGTTAGTTAGAAAGTAGAACATACTGTCCACTCCACTGCCGAAAAACCTTTGCCTCAACCTATAGCTTAGTTCACTACTTAACTTCAAACAAGATTGGAAAAAAAGAATTAAAGAATTAAAATAAATCTATCTAAAATATTTCCACACAAGAAACTCACCAATCTAAATGCTGAGGACACAGTGATTGCATTACAACTTTACTGTAAACTACAACATGCAAATTATTTCACAGGCTTAACTGCAAATTCGTACTAGTATCACAATGAAGCCAAAGTCAGAGATATAAATGAAAATTTCTTGGAAGAAATAAAGAAGCTTGCACATTGGAGGATCTCAGATGCTTTAGTTTGTGTGACAGGATGAGAAGAGGCTCTGCTGCAAATGATACATAAGTTTACACAAAACATGGTCTGTCATACAACGACCACTTTATTTTTTAAGTATGGAGCCAGAATTAACAGGAGTTTATGAGTGAATAAAAATAATCATTTATATGCTGCATCTTCAAAAAAAGGACGCTAGTAGGCTCTTTGAAGTTGGGATAGTTATTATTTTAAGAAGTAATTTGAGCACTTTCATCCAAAATAATGAAGTTATAATGAAAAACATTCTTCAATACTTAAAAGTCACATGTTGTCTACAAGAGATTAAGCAAAATGAATACTTTTATTTGTATTTACAAATGTTTTCTTTCCACTAAATTAAACCTCCCCACAGTGTCTAAGAGGAGGGATTGCTGCACAGTCACTCCATGCAAAAAAGCTGGGCTACCTTCAATTTATAACTTTTTTTAATAACGGGCATAAATTGCAGGAGTTTATTTCATACCCAGAATAAAACTGGAATAAATGTTATTACATTTGAATATGTCTAGATTACGTTGATTTCACTTATTCATTTCTACAGATCAATGTGAATTGTTGCAACTTAAAACTACGACATAAACATAATAAGCAAAAGGTACAGCAAACGCTGAAGTTTACAGCAACTTACAACTAAAAATAATGTCTCTTACTCGCCTATATAGGAATAATAAATTCCTGCAAAAAGCATTTACGAACATCTTTTGTTTTTTTATGAATCACGCCTTACCTGCTGCCCCGGTTGAACTGCTCCGCGCTGCCTCCTGGTTGAGCGGCAGAAATGAGCCAGACGCGGCGGATCGCCTCACCCTGACCCCGACCCGTTATACAACGTGAAAATGAAATGGGAGCGTTACTGGTGATTGCTCGCGTCCTTCAGCTGAGCCGCGGATGTGCTCTCCACGGCGCTGAGTGTGAAAGAAGCTGCTGGGCAGAGGAGAGGAGACGGAGAGGAGAGGAGGAGGAGGAGGAGGGGGGGGGGGGAAGGGGCAATAGATGCTCATTTTCACCTGTTGATGTTCATTCGAGCGAGAAAGAGCAAGAGCCACATGGTTGGCTAGAAACAGAAAACATGTGTTTTTGAAAGTGTCACAAGCTCATATTTTCTTAAACACTTTGCAGCACCAGAGAGTAGAAACACCTGCACATAAAGACCTACAATTTAATTCAGGAATACTTCATAGATTCCAAAGAGACTTTATGTGAGCTTTTGAGATTGTAAAAAGTATACCTTGTTGCCACGGTTACATAGCATACCTTTTACCATAGAAAGGTAAAAGCAAAAATCCTTCCAGCTACATCTGTCATCGCATACAGTGAAACATTACATGTCAACTGCATGTCTGTACACAACCTTTATTTAAGCACTCCTCAAACATCACTGACATGTAAACAAAGAGGAGCCCATCTGGAGGAAAGTATACTTTGATAAGCACATCGGTGTTTTAATGTGGGGAAAAAAAATTGTGACATGTTAATTAGTAGAAACATTATCTGAACAAACACAAGGTGTGTTGAGCTCAAAAGATACTGCATTTTACAAAGTTGAGTGCCTCTAAGTATTTATTTTTGTTACAACAGAGAAAGAGTCAGACCTAATGGCACCTTAAGAAGGTTGTAATAGGATGTTTCACAGTTAAAGCCTAAAAGCTGTGATGTGCCGCTGTTCTTTTATGAAAGATATTTTCAGCCTCCTGAGTGACTTAAGTGGAAAAATAATTACACCAACCTTGCTGTCATATTTCTTTTAATGCTTTTCAGAGGTCTACTTTATAAAAAGTGTTTATACTTTTTTAGACATGAAAAGCACTGTTTTGAAAACATCCATCCATCCAAATGGATGGATGGATGGAAAACATTATCCATCCCCTGAAGTCCATCCCCTGAAGTTATAAGTGAAAGAAAGGAAAACTATTTTTTTTCTTGGAGAACTATCCACATGATGAGTCAAATAGCATATCTTTTAGAGTCTGCACACTGCAGAGGAGGAAAACTATTCGTTTTTATCCATCCCCTGAAGTTTGAAAATGAAAGACACAATTTTTTTTTCTCAATAATACACAGTATCAAAACACTGGATCTTTCCCCTATTTCATGTCCTAATTCATAACTACAACATGCAGGTAAACTGTCTCTGGGATTCATAGTATTTTACACTTACAACTGTCTGTCATATGGATTTTTTGGTGAAGTCATTAATGCAAAATTGTTTGCGAAGAAAACGATAAGCTAGTCAATAAAATGAAAGTCAGCCACATTCTACATAATCCGGTGTAGCAGCAACTTGATATAGTTAGACGAGGGGTACATTGCTGTTTGCAGGCAATCAGCAATTACTGAAAAAAAAAAATCAACAGTGAAAGCCTGGGCACTTATCTTTCAGTTTGTCTCTACAATCTTCAATTATAACAAGAAAATATTTTATTTCAATTGGTTGAAGAAAAAAATATACATTTGAGTTATTTGAGAAAGATGTCTGTTAAGAAAAAAAGTCCAACTTCAGGTGTAACAGCAATCTGTGTAGATTTCATTTGGCACTACTAGCATGGCAAGAGTGAAATAAACAGATTTCCTCTGCCCCAAAACAATTAAATAAAACTGACCAGTGGCCATACCTCCTAAAAAAACAAAACAAACAAACATTCCTCAAGTAAATAACTCTCCAATTTGTCTCATGAGCTCAACCTGCAGATGTTCAGTTGTCAACGGGGTGAAAATGTAACTATTTTTAAGGTCAGGATTTGACCTTCAGATGTGATTGTCACCATTTTCATTTAGTCATAATCCATTAATTAATTAAATGAATTACCACCAGTTGATTGCTAACTGCTGCCGCTGCTAGTTTGGAGGAGCAAAGTGGTGAAGTTGAGGCGGAAGCTTGGCTGGAGACTGCAGCTCCAAAACGGAGCTTTGTAGGAATAGGCAACACTTTGTATGAGCAAGTCTTTAAGCACCCTCAAAAGGCTACCAGGGGTTTCAGTTTTACAACATCTCAAATAAAACTAGAAGCAATGGAAAACTACTTGTAATCATGAACATGTTAGATGTGTGGATCATCTATTTGTTACTGGATAGTCTCATTTCCATTTTGTGTATTTTTATGACCTTTCAGATTTTGCAGATCAATGCAAGTGGTTGTAAAGCTAATGTGCGAAGAACATTTCATCATTGTCTGAAAACAACAAAGAACTAAACAGAAATTGCTGCTTTGGAGGATGTAAATTCATCTTTCCCCCTCATGACCTGAATACTAATGTTGAGATTTGATCTATAAGTCTTGACTTTTACAAATTAGGGTCAATTACTTTGGTGATAGTTTGCATCCAGTGATTTTATTGTAACATGTGATAAATGTTTTCCATGCTGAATTCCCTAAACAAGGAGCTCCGCTACTGTTTGTCATTATGCCCTCACTAATGAAATGTGTTCAGATTGATTTAGTTCCTCAGCAACACTTATATCAGAGGCCAGAGGGGAATCTTATCAATGATCGCATAAGTCTAGAATGACATTAAAACCAAGCAACCGGACAGAGATGAATCATAATAATACAAATGTCTTCGATGTAAAACATTTATGTTGCATACGGTGGTTTGACTCTATAAATGTGCTCTTTATGAAGCAAATTATTCTGGTAATGCACATAAAATGTGTTTTGTGACAACTTATCTCAATAAAACTGCCAAAAATTCTAAATTTTCTACAACTATAGGAGGAGCCAAATGCTTTTTTCGTATACATATAAAGCTATCTCAGTAGTGCACACTTATTTTGGGATGTAATTATCTGTCTTGCATGCAAAGTTAAAGAATCATGTTTTACTTTCTGATACTTCATGGTTCATGAATGTTCTTGATGTAGCATGTTACAAAAGAGATGTACAGTGATTCTTTCACCACGCCAGAGATACTTTATTGGTTCTCCTTCTATATATTTATTTCTACTTCTGCAGATATGTTTACCTTAAATGGCAAAAAGTAATCCTGGCTGAACCGTCCTTCAAGCTGATAAGCCTTGTCACCCAGAGCGAGGAGGAAAATAAATAATTGAAAGGAAGGAACGTTTGACTGGAAAAAAAAGGGAAAGTCAACTAGAGAGCAGAGTGACTGTCCAACAAATCCCAGTCTAGCAAACAAGAAATGAGGCCAGAGAAAAAAAAATCTACAAATGAATTTTGGATGTGCATTAGTTACTGTCTGTAAATGAGGTTTTGAGGATTCATAAATTAATTATTTGTTTGATTAAATATTGATTAGCAACATTCACATGCAACTACTTTCACTCAAGTATCATAAGAGACGTGAGATTTACTACCTTGCTCATGTTAGTCGATAAAAATAATTAAATTAGAATACATTAGTAATAAAGACATGACAAAATATTAATAAGAGTTTTTGTAAAGCTTATTCCCTTTTAAAAATATTTCTATAACTTTTTTTTAAATATATATTTTGTCACGTTACTAACACAACATTCCATTTATTTGATTTGTCGTAAATAATTGTCGTAAATAATTGTGAAGTCAAAGGAAACAAATACATATTTAAAAATATTTTCCAATTAAAAGCCTTTAAGGTGTGACAATTTATGCTCATGCAATTTAATTTGATACTTTGCATAAACACCTTTTGATGTATGTGTCCCAGCTTTGCAGCACAGATCAAGCAGGAGAAACAATTAAATAGCGAAGTTTTGGCATGATGAAATTTCATCTAGACATCCTTTAAAAGAATTTACCTTCACAAGATGATGTTTCTCAGAACAAGATTTTCCAAAAATCTGAACAAAATCACACCTGCTTAAAGACTATTTGAATATGAGGAAGAAGGAGATTTTCAGAGAAAACTGATTTTCCAGGAAACAGAAAGAACATAGGAAAAAATAGCACCTCGTAACTTTCGGCTGGGAATTTAATTGCACAAGATGTTGAAAACGTAAAAAGTTACTTTGCACTTATTCCTTTTTTCACCATAACTTATTTTTTATCACACCATCAAAACATAAATCGGACTGTTAAATAAAAGGCCAACTTTTATTTACCAATAATTTTGTTCCAGGAAATTTGTTTCCTGGAACAAATTTCACTTCAGTGGGGTTCTTTTGATTCAGATGTATTGTATTTATAAAGTGAGACTATTCATCACAAGGCACCTGAAATAAAAATCTCTATGCAAAACCTTTCACATTTTTTACCGCATACAGCTCCTGCATAGTAATGATGCCGCCCATCGAGTGAGGAGAAAATCCTTAGGTGATATGCCTTTGATTGAAACTACATCATATAAATTAGAGTGGAAAGAGGCGCTTGGTTCATGTTTATTAAAGACCTCATTCAAGTTTCATATGTGGAAGGGAGGCTGTGTTTAGGAAAAGTTTCCTCTGCAGAGTTGTCTATACCTTGCGAAAGATTGTATAACCCTTGTGGAAAAATAGCTAAGGAAACTATTTGGAGTCATTTTGGTTTTGTTACTAGAAATTGGTAAGAGAAATTAAACTTAATTCAAAAGTAAAGTCTTTCTCCAAGAAAAACGTACAGCTGTGCTCTTTGCAGTCCAACGTTGCTTGAGAGTTAAATCACTGTTTGTAATAGAGATGATATTTTTACACAGCGAAAGATACTAGAATTTACAAAACAATAATGACTAGCATGCTGGATGTATTTGACTGGATAATTCTTCAAAAATAAAAAAATAGTATGGCATTCAATCAGAGAGAATTTTTTCTGTGAAAACAGGTGTTGAACAGATTACTTATTTAAGCAAATGTGCCTTTTAATTTAAAAGCTTAGTAGCATTGTGTCTGATAGCACTGGGGCCACCCGTGGGTCTGAACATATATCTCAGCAAAGGTCTTGCACTTTGACCAATCAAATAAGGATAAATAT